CCTGTGACCCATCCAAGGTACAGTCTGACCCAAACTCTCTCTTGCTTCCAACGAGCCCTTCAAGCTTTTCCCTGATCTAAGTCCAGCATTTCTCCTTCCTCAGCATACTTAGAATGTCAGAGAGCTAGAGGCGACCTCAGAATCCTGACAATACCCTGGTTCTTGGCTTCGGGCCCAGATTCTTAGGAGTCCTCAGTGGTAGGAATGGGGTCTAAAGTTTCTAACATTTTGCTTTTTAATAGCATTTTTTTTCTAATTACAAAGTAATGCACGCATGCTCAAGCAGAAAACTTGGAAAAAGCAGAAAAGTATAAGGGAATTTTAAAAGTCACCCTATTTATCCCATTCACCCCCTCAGTGGGCCAGTGCCTGGAACAGATTTGGTGCGTAATAAATATTTGTTGAATGAATTATCTTTGATCCCATCACCCAGAGATAAAAGCCACAATCACCTTTTGATTGTTTATCCTTCCAGTCATAGCTATGTTATACTACCTAAATAAGATCATATGTACACAGTTTTATGGCCTACTTTTTTTCTCTCGGCAATATACTATGTGTTTTCCCATATTGATAGCTTTTTTACATCATTAATGCTTTCATATTATTCTTCAAATGGCTCTACCATAATTTTCCCAGCCAATTCTCTACCATTGGGCATTTAAGTGATTTCCAGTTTTCTGTTGTTACAACATCTTGCCACCCATCCTAGTACATATGTTTTTGTCCACATATCTAGTTTTTAGGATGCATTCCTAGAAGTGGAATTGCTGGGTTAGAAGAGTAGGCACATTTTAAGATATCTCATGCATACTGACAAAATGGCACTGCTAATTTACTCTCCAAGGCTATTGCCAGTTTTCAAAAAGACCTAACTAAGTAAAGAAAATCTGGTACATTTTATCTCTGGACTAGGTAATACAGACTTATCAACTCTAAGCTTTTGGCCAGAATTACAGCAATTCCGACCCACCATGTTAGTTATTGACACTTGCTGACCGGAAGCTAACTGGCTATCAGGTTTTGGATCAGTATGGAAAGAGAAAGCAAGTTAGTGACTTAAAGCCTATCAACTTTTCCGGGGGCCAAAATATTCAAAACCTGGTGACCCGTGAGGATTCCTAGTAATAAAAGCATTGGGGACAACTGGACCCCGGTGTCTGGCATGGGTCCCGGACAGAATCTTAATTCTACAGGTGGGGCACTGCGACCCTGCCTGCGTCTAAACCCCCAACTCTCCTGACTCAAAGTCCACGCTGCTGCCCCAACTTAGTGCTACTCAAAGGAGGGCCACCCACTTGCCCCAACCTGCCCTGCCCCTAAAGGTGCCGCACACCGGCAGCGCCGCCCTGGCGGTGACCTGATGCGGTTCAGCTTGCAGCTGCGCATGCTCCGTCCTGCGCGCAGCCTCTAGGCGCCAGAGGGCGCGCTCCCCTCCACGGCCCCGCCCTCTGAGCCGTTGGGATTTGAATCTCCGGCGGGCTGCGGCTGGAAGTGCCGACCCCTCAGTCCGGCATGGAAAGCCCGCGCCCCAGCGTACGGTGCCCGGTGCAAGAGCAGCGTGCCCGTTGGGAGCGGAAACGCGCCTGCACTGCCCGGGAGCTGCTGGAGACCGAGCGGCGCTACCAGGAACAGCTGGGTCTGGTGGCCACGGTGCGGGGCCCGCACACCCTCCCGTAGGGGCGGGGACCCCAGGGTGTGAGAGGGCCCCTACGAGGTCGGTGACCCTGACTGGGGTACCGTGGGTCCTGACCTGGACGCCTGCACGTAGGGACCTCAGGCCGACTTACACAGTTTCTAGCGGCGCCTTGGCACTGGCTTCATGTTTCTGCGGACTGCATACCGGTATTCTCTCCTTCCGCAGTACTTCGTGGGGATTCTGAGAGCCAAGGGCACCCTGCGACCACCAGAGCGCCAGGCCCTGTTTGGGCCCTGGGAGCTCATTTACGGCGCCAGCCAGTGAGTAGAAGGGGCGTGGGAAGAGAGGAGGGAGAGCTCTGGCCTCTGGCAGTGCACGGAGCTCAGAGTCGGAGCGACCCCGGTTCACATTCGGAGTCTGCCAGTTACCTCACTTGTGGTCTTGGCCCAGTGCCTTAATCTGCCCCAATTCTCCACCCGTAAAATGGGGTAATAGCACTACCTCCGGGGCAGGGGTAGGAGAATTAAAAGAGGTGGTGCTTGAGTAGTTCTTGGGCTGCTCTTTTATTGTCCTGACCTACGCAGACAGCTGCTTCCCTACCTCGAAGGAGGGCGCTGGGGACAGGGGCTGGAGGGCTTCTGCCCCCACCTGGAGCTCTACACCCAATTTGCTGCCAACGCTGAGAAGTCCCGGACCACCCTGCAGGTAACCTGAAGATGACCTCAAGTCCTCCTTCCCCTCTTCCTCCATACATTGCCTCTTCATCTGCAGACCCAAACTTCATTTATACTGTTCCTGCATTTATAGAGCCCTGTGGGTGTCCAGCTCTGTACTAAGTTCCCTGTAGGGAGACGGGGTTCTCTCAGGAGCACACAGCTTCCTGAGGGCTGGGGATGTGTACACCGAAGAATACAATAGTAGGAGAGGCTTCTCTCCTTGCTGCCAACTCTTTCCCCGTCACTCTAGGAGCAATTAAAGAAGAACAAACGTTTCCGGAGGTTTGTGCGACTTCAGGAAGGTCGCCCTGAGTTTGCGGGCCTTCAGCTCCAGGACCTGCTCCCTCTGCCTCTGCAGAGGCTCCAGCAGTGAGTGACCTCACCCTGACTCAGCCAACTTCTCTTAGAATTCTGAGTCTGTATGATTGCTGCTCTCAGCTTTGTGGGATTCCATGGGATTTGTCCCACTGTGTCTCTCCTGGGACAAATTGCTCCCAAAAACTTTTTGCAAGAGTAAATGTGAACCCACTGGAGTACCTGGGCTGTGCAGCCTCAGGCCCTTAGCTGGGATTGTGGAACTTACACTGAAGTGAGGGGCCTGTAATAAGGCTAGCAACAGGGTTTCTGGAGATGAAAGGCTCGCCTAGCTTAGAATTTGTCCCTGCGGATGAGTTAAGAACTTAGTTGTCTGTAGCATCCTCCTTAAGTTGATTAACTTTCACCTTGGGATCTGGCCTCCTGAACCTTGGTCATTCTGCCCCTCTGACTCTTCAATGTGCAATGGAAGAGGGCCATGTGGTGTGAACCCAGGCTCTGAGTCTCAGATGAAAGAGGGGGATAAAAGAGCCACAAGTAGGTCTTTCCTGGCTTTGCAACTGAAGTTTGTACAGGGGGTGATCTGTGTGTCAGGCAGAGGAAATTTTGCCCAGCTCTACTTCCCCTCATAACTTCCAACTGTCTAATTCCAGGTATGAGAATCTTGCCATTGCTTTGGCTGAAAACACAGGTCCCAACAGCCCTGACCATGAACAGCTCACAAGTATGTTCTTGCTCCTCCACAGCAGTCCTTGGAGACTGCTTCTCTTGTATCCATTTCTGGTTCTGACCTCCAACAATGTCTGATATGCCCCTATCTTCCAATGACTTGTATACAATGTTCCTATTGCCCTACATACTCTTCAAGAAGTTAGACTCTGACCCTAGTCCTCTCTGGAATAGCCTGTCTTTCACCACCACCATTCACCCAAAGTCAAAGTTGTGTTGGGAGTGGGGCATGGAATATTATTCCAGGGGCTGCCCGGCGGATAAGTGATACTGCCCAGAGAGTCCACACCATCAGTCAGAAACAGGAGAATGACCAGCACCTCCAGCGTGTCCAGGCTCTGCTCAGTGGACGGCAGGCAAAGGGGCTTATCTCAGGTAGTCTGTGTGCTTCCCCTCAATCCTCAAACTGCCCTTTTCCTACCCCCATCCTCTCTTTTGCCAGCACATACCCCCCATTTCCTCAGCCTCCCTTTCCTTCTATTCCGTGCATCACGGTCCTGAAGCTGCACCAGAATAACAGCTCTCCCATCCCCCAGGTCGCTGGTTCCTACGCCAGGGTTGGCTGCTGGTGGTGCCTCCCCGAGGGGAGCCTCGGCCCCGAATGTTCTTCCTCTTCTCTGATGCACTCCTCATGGCCAAGCCTCGACCTCCATTGCATCTGCTGCAGAGTGGCACCTTTGCTTGCCAGGCCCTCTACCCCATGGCTGAGTGTCAACTCCACAGGGTCTTTGGCCACTCAGGAGGCCCCTGTGGTGGACTGCTCAGCGTAAGTAACAGGCGAGAGCCCTAGGTGAGGTAGGCGAGGCCCAACATATACCTCAAGTGCCTGTGCACCATTCATCTCCTAGGCCTGGGCCCCCTCACAGGAACTGAGCCACCTACATCGAGAGCACAGTAGGGCTTGGGGTTCATACCTGGTTCTCACTTCAGCCCTAAATTACCTCAGTGGAAACAGCAGGGCCTTTAGCTTAAGGCTGGACATTTCTAAGCCATGTGCTAAGAGGTGGTCTCTCCCTAGCTGTCCTTTCCCCACGAGAAGCTACTGCTTATGTCCACAGACCAGGAGGAGCTGTCGCACTGGTACCGCAGTCTGACTTTGGCCAGCAGGTAAGTTATTTTCCTTCAGAAGAGTGCTGTGGTGAGGCCCACGAGCTGGAGGCAGCAGTTTGGGGCCTCTCTCACGTGTGGAACTCACTCGCACCCCTCACCCCACTCCTCCATCCAACACCCTGGGTGGTTTTGTCAGAATAGAGTGCTCGTGCCAGTGCCTGAACTATCTTCTCTCCACAGCAGCCAGAAGAACTAGAGGAATCTTACAAATTCGAGTCCAGGATACCTCAGAGTCGGGAGTACAAAGGAATCTTCTTCAGTACTAACGAAACACAGACTCTTCACGGTTTGAGAAGGGTCATTCTGTGTTTGCGTGAGACCAAGACACGCCATGTCATTTGACCAGCTCTTGAGAATCCGGACACCAAACCTGACCCAACTGAACCTCAGCTGAACCAGCTATTTTTATGTTGTATGTAGTTTCTATAATTTATTTTCCCACAGGATTTTAGTAAAGTTTTTTCTTTTTTGGAGAAGGCTTTTTATCTCAGCTATGCAATATGAGAAAAGGGGTTTCTGTGTCCTGAAGGCCGGCATGACGGTGGCCTCAGGAATACAAAGAGAAGGACTGGAGCTCCCTCTGTCTTCTCAGCTCCTGCACTGGAAGACAGGCTCTTTATGTCCTAATAAGGGAAGCTTTTCAAGAAGGCCCAGTTGTTTTTAGGCACCTAGTATGGGTGTGTGTGTGTGTGTGTGACCAGCTGGAATGGAAAAAGCACACAGGATCATCCAGTCACAAGAACAGACTCTGTTTTACTAAACTGTCAGCTGTTGTCCCTCCTTCCCGGTGGGGGCTGTGACTGGGGCCCTTTGCTGCAGCCTTCCGGCATCTCCTCCTTAGCCCCTGCTCCATTTCCCTGGGAGTAGCTAGGTTCCTCGTCCCTGTGCTCCAGTTTAGGGGCTCCTCGCAGGCCTGACTGTCACCAGCCTGTTCCTCGTCCTCCTCTATAGATAAGTCCTCAGGAAAGGGTGTGCTGGCCTCTGTGAAGAGGAAGATCAGGCATGTTCCAGTCTGAGAGGCTTTGTCTCTACCTCCACCAGACTCTCACCTCCCAACCCTGTACCTGGTTCTGGAACCTCCACACCCTTGTTTGGTTTGCTCTCTCGTAGCAGCTGGTGGATGGCCTGTAGCTTCATGTGCAAAAGCTCCTGCTGGGCTCCAGCCAGGGTAGTCACACTGCAGATATGTCCACTCAGAGGCTGCCCAATCTCTGTGCCCACCTCTCCCACCTACCACAAGTTCCCCTGGCCACAGGGTCATTGCTCTGCTTACCGCTCAAAAAGGGGCTCCAGCTGGGCCATCAGACTGTTCAGGTGTTGTTCTGTCTGGGCCAGCTGTTGTGTCAGCTGGGCCAGCTGTTGCTCTGGGGGTAAGGGAGAAAAGGAGAGCAATGGTTACCAACCTTCTGCTGTCCCTTAATCCCCCCCAAGTACAGACTTCTGCAAAACCCACCTGACTGCAGTGAATCCTTCTTGCCTGCCTCCTCTTGGAGAAAAGTAGCCTCATCTTTCCCCTGCTGTGGAAAAAGGCAAGGGCAATGAGGTTCTCAATAACCTCAGTCTTGGGGCTTCCCTGTGTGGTGCAGTGGTTAGGAATTCGCCTGCCAGTGCAGGGGACACGGGTTCGAGCCCTGGTCCGGGAAGGTCCCACATGCCACGGAGCAACTGGGCCTGTGCGCCACAACTACTGAGCCTGCGCTCTAGAGCCCGTGAGCCACAACTACTGAGCCCACGTGCCACAACTAGTGAAACTTGCACACCTAGAGCCTGTGCTCTTTAACAAGAAGCCACTGCAGTGAGAAGCCCCCACACCTCAGCAAAGAGCAGCCCCTGCTTGCTGCAACCAGAGAAAGCCCACGTACAGTAACGAAGACCCAATGCAGCCAAAATAAAATAAATAAATTTACAAAAAAATAAGTAAATAAATAACCTCAGTCTCCAAAGCCAGAAGGAGGAGGAGGACAATTTCAGGTAGACAAAACTAGTGGGTTTTTACCTCAGAGAATCACAATCACAACTCGTCCAGCTCCTCACCCAGGACAGGAAGCAACATGTCAGTATGCCCCGCACGTGGTTGTTTAGTCTACTGAAACACTTCCAGGAAGGAGCAGCTGTCATCAGTTTGATAAAGTTCTGGTTGTTAGTTTATACACAAAGCCAGAAACTGTCCTGTGTGCATCTTCTTTTCATGGTACTGATCAGAGCCTTCCAAAATCATATCTTTTCAACGTGATAGCCCCTCAGGAATTTGAAGAAATTGGTCATACCCCCTGTCTTCTCTGGTTTAATAGGGCCAATCTTTTGCAGTCAGTGCTCATTTGACACGGTTTTCTCTGGTTGCTTTACTCTGGTTTGTTTTAAGAGCATGTACTGCTCTTAAAACAGCGCCCTCAAGACAGTAAAGTTCTCCAGGAGTGTTCTGATCCGAAGATAAAGCACAATACCTCCTTCCTAGCATTGATTTGGGAAGTGGGTTATCACATCACACAACTGAACTCTGTCAAATAATAAACTGCTGCCAAATTACGTTTCTTTCGTACTATACTTGGGTCCAAGAAGAGAATTTATTATCTATCCTTGTCAAATTTCATCATTATATTCAGTCCCTCATTCTAGCCTGTCAAGTCTATTCTGGATCACTATTAGCCATCCCTTCTAGTTTCATATCCTCTCCAAATTGGCTCAGCCCTCTATATTCCAATGCAAGTAAGTGATAGGGCCAGGGCTAAAGGGAGAGAGCCCTGGGAGGTACTACTTTCCATTTCAACAGTTTCAATCCACCACAATATACTGTCAGTTCACATTGCAGGGCCTCCTTCCCAAGGAGAACTTGAGACTGCTTGTTACCTCGAACTCTAAAAGCACTTTGGCTACAGTAATCAACTGCTCATGCCAAGGTTGGAATCTCACCGGGAACTGCACTTACTGTAGTATGGACATTTGCTGGGTTCAAATCCCAGCTCCACCAGTTACTAGCTCTGGGTGGTCTTGAGCAAGTGACTAAACCTCTTCACTGGATTGTTGGGAGGATTAAATGTGATGATCATTATTTATTCACAATTTACCAAGGGCCCTTCATATCCACTACCACGCTGGATGCTCAAAATAACCCCATAATCTTAGAAAGCCAGGGAACTCTTGTCATTTTACAGACTGAAGGGAAAATGTGTCTTCTTCTTGGTACCATAGCGTCCCCCTGGGAGATTCAGGCTCGGGGCATCCCCACCCCAGGTCGTCCCGCACCTGTAAACACTTGTATAGCACAAAAACCACGGCGGCTGCGGTGTACAGCGCCCCCAAGGGCAGCGCCCCGGCCCAGGCCCGCTCGCGCTGGTTCTTGGGCGGTGGCGGCGGCGGCGGCCGCCGGGTTTCCGTGGCCCCAGGGCCGACCTGGGCGGCGTCCCCTGAAGAGGAGGGCAGAAGCGGTCAGTACAGCTGGGGTTTGGGGCTTGTGGGCAGTCCCAGCCTCCCTCCAGCTGCCCTCGCTGGTACCTGGGTGTGCTCGGCGGTCGGGGCTGGTGCGGTCTCCGAGCACCTCGGGCAGCGCTGACACAAGTAGCAGCCCCAGCGAACCCGCGAGCGACACCACGCTCGCCATTGCAGGCAGACACCGCGAGAACCGAGGCGGCGCCGGCGTAGGTCGGACGCACCCGAGCGCTCCCGAGCCCGTTCAGCTCCGGGCTTCCCAGGAAGGTCACGCCCACCTAGTGTGTGGGCGGGGCCAGGTCTGTTTGCATAGCACTGTGGGTCCAGCTTAGTTCATTTAAGAAATTAGCTCATTTCTTACCTCTATATAGGTGTTCTGTTAGCCAGGATGTCTCCAGAAGCGTACAGTCTTAGAAGATTATAACTGGAAGTGGTTTTTATTTGCCACGCCACCAATTTCCTCACCCTAACCGTAAAATAAATTTCCCCGTGGAGCTATAAACGGTTACAGCGCACCACATACGACGTAGCTCGTGCTGAAGGCCTGTTTCCTAGGCTACGAACTGGGGACTAGTTCCTTACTTGCGCCTAGGGGAAAGTCCCCGGACTTCTGGCAGAGAGTGCCGCGTGCGCATGTACGTAGACCTTCCCTGCTTCTCACGGTTAAGCCCGCCAAGAAGCGATCCCGCAGGTGGTGGGGGAGCCGAGCGGCGTGTTGCGGGGGGTGTCATCCGTCTACTTCTATAGTTACGCAGGCAGTGCGCCATTGTGCGCACCAACCACACGGGGCTCATTCTCAGCGCGGCTACTTTTGTACCTTTATAGAAAGTAGGAACTTTTGTACCTTTATAGAAAGTAGGAAGTTGCACCCCTGAGCTACTCCTTATTCCTCCCCTTAACTACTTGTTCCTCCTGTGGCCTAATACATCACTGTATCATTTTTATGCAATTCCCATTTCGTGCAACGGCTTCCTCTTCCCCACCCTTTCCATCTGGCAAGTGCCTGTAATATCCACCATTTATCGTGTAGCATGGTAACACGATAAAATTTGATCTCTGCCTGGGCTAGAATCCTGCCTCTCCTATTTGACTAGCCGACCACCCAGAGGCAGCCTGGGCTGCCCAGCAGAGTAGTCCAAACCTCGACTCTAAGCCAGTTGACATAATCAATGTAAATAAGTGGTTCAGGCCAGGTGTAATAGGATAAATGGGCCCCAGCTGATTGTTGCCTTTAGGGAATTTGGGCCCACTATTGCCAGGTCTTCTGATTTTTTTCCAATAGATCAACAAATCGGGATTTCAAAATTTGGAAATCTCCAGTTTTTAAATGTTGACGAGGAATCAGTGGCAGACTTAGTATATTTGACACCTGAGAGATTTTTAAAAAGTCTCCTCTTCTATATAACAAAATTATTTTCAGTAATAATCAGGAAATGAAACAATAGGGTCCAGAAAAGAAACTAATAAGGGCCAGAAATTCAAACAGTGAATTATTTCTTTTATTGAACTCTGTAGATACAATCTTGACAATACAAAAAAATAGTTAAAATTAAATATACATTACAGAACAAGAAAGGGTAATGGGTTAATATTTCTTAGTTACATTATTGTATTTTTTGAGAAAGGGGCAAAAAACTTATACTTACATTTAACCTATCTGAGTAATGGATAACTCTAATTTCTTTTTTAAAGTTAACTTCTGCAAATTCGTCAAAAGTAATTTTTGCATATTCCTATTTAATAGAGAATATAGCTAGATTTGTCAATCTCCACGCATAGTTGATTAAAGAATGCTTTTTACTAATTTTCATATCAAAGAAGTTTCTTTCACATGAAGCAACAGACATACAAATAGGAAAAGAAAATCTTAAACATAAAGATGTTTGGCAAAGATTCATTAAAATTCCATTTGTCGGTAAATTCCAGAAATTTTCAATACAAATAAAAACTAAGTGGTCACCTAGAATGACAGAATTAAAGTAACTCAACGTCATTTTATTTGACTTTTTAATCACTGTGCTACCATTGTTCATTGTAAATCTACTGGTTAAATGCAGGACTGTGTAATATCATAGGAGACAGAAATTGTGCCCAAACCAAAGAATAACTCCAAATGGTTAAGAACTAATTCTGGCTATAAACACATGTAAGATGAACCTGTTTGTGTCAGGAGCCAGTTGTATAACTGGGCGTTCTACAGATTAACTTCCATGTAGATTATAATCGTTTTTTTTTTTTTTTTCTGGCCGCGCCACACCGCAGGCAGGATCTTAATTTCCCTGACCAGGGATGGAACCCTCATCCCCTGCAGTGGAAGCATGGAGTCTTAACCACTGGACTGCCAGGGAAGTCGTGGATTAGAAAACTTCTAAAGGATAAGTAATATAAATGTGCTAATTTGAAGCTTATATAGTAGTATTAAAACTCATCAGTAACTACAACAATTTAGAATGTAGATCTACAAAATATTTTTGAGAAAGGAATATGTTATCACTGACATTTTTTAGAATTGCTGAAACTTGGTGATAATAAAAAAGGACACTGATTTTTAGTCAGTTTTGTTTTTAAATTCTCTACAGACAATACCCTCTTACTGCCTGGAGGGGCAGGATCTCTCCTGCCATCCCCATCCTTGGCACATTACTGCAATGATTTTAAATTTTTGAAAAACATTGTATGGGCCAGACAAAACAGATCTCTGACCTCTGGTCTAAGGTTTATATTTGGAACTTAAATCCCTCTTCCCACATCAACAGCCTCCCATGTGGTTGGGCTGTTTCTGGGCAGGGCAGGTACTCTGCTGCTCCCTGAAGCAAACAAGTGCAAACACAGGGCTGTTTCCCAGGACAGATCTGGGGCAGAGGTTGCTCTAATTCAGCTAACTTTTTTTTTTTTTTAAGCCATCTTTAAATTTATTTTCCAAATATAAATCTCAATTAATGTTCATACACTGTCATTTAGCTTCAGGCTTTTTTAACCTAGAAAAAAATTCTCTTTTAAAAAATACATCTATTGAGGTATAACTGACAAACAATAAAGTACAAACAGAGGTGCACAATTTCATGATTGCTGACATATGTATAACGCATGAAAGCACAAGCATCACCAAGGCAATGAAAACATCCATCAGTCCCCACTCATCTTCAATCTAGAACACTGCTCCTGTCCCTCCCCATCTCTGTCTTTCATGATATTGACTTTCAGGAAAGCTTAAAGTCACTTGTCTGGTGGAGTGTCCCCCATTCTAGATTTGCCTAATTGTTTCTTCATAATTTGATTCCCATTGAACATTTTTGTCCAGGACATCACATGGGCAATGTAGAGTTCCTCCCACTGCATCCCATTAGGGACACAGAACATCACTTTGGGCACTTGGTTCAAGAGGTGTCTGCGAATGTCATGATAAAGGTCCCTTTCCCTGTCATCATCACAAGTGGTCTGTCTCTGGTACCCTGTTCCTTAACAAAGGCTTTGACCACCCGTGAGGATTCTTGCTGGCTCAGTGATGGCATTGTGGGTAGCAGATGGTGGTTCTCTAATTCTGCACAACTACACTTCACAGCTGGCATCTTCTCTAAAGACCTTTCCTTCCCCGACTCCCGCTCCTGTGTTTTTAAAGGCACCCTTGGGTTCATGAATTCTTTTCCTCCATCCAATGTGTGTAACCCAATATCTTCCTTTTTGAGGTCCAAAGTGTGCTGCAATGTGCCAGTAGAGCCCTTCACCCTGCCTCTGCATCCTTCTGGGTCCTAATTAGTTTTCAAGTACATCACTGCTGTCAGATATGAGCTTTCATTCTACTTCTTTCCTGAGAGTGGACCCAGAGCCAAGCATTTCTCCATGACACCCTGGCTGCCTTTATTGGTGAAGGACATTGAAAAATCAAGATCTGGGGAAGTAAACCCTTTTCAGTGTTTGATGTAAAACATTTGAGGGTGTACATGTTAAGAACTATGAAGGATCTGAATCAGCTAACTTTTGAGCTTGACAGCTCCTAGGGACAGTTTGGATGAAGTGGACCAGGGGGAGGTAATCAAGCTTACTCTAGCCCCCAAACTATTATACCAATAACAACGACAAAGGTCATCTTAACACATGCCCCTCGGGTCAGCCTTAGGGTGTAGTAGGACTGTAAGTACCAGGGGGCCCCCTCATCACATTTCACTTCAAAACATGCTCACTGAGGAATACGTTCTCTGTTCTCTGTCATGGGACTCAGAGTTGGAGAGAAAAGGCATACACCCTGTGGCAGAAAGGAATCTCTGTCCTAAGGCCTGGCTTCCTTGTTTTGTCGCTCCCGCCTCATGCCACTTCTGCCCGCCTTGGGGTCGTCATGAGCTCACCTGCCCAGTGGCTCAGTAAACTCAGGCCTGCCTCTTCTCTGGCCGAAGTTGCTACAGGGTACAGGGGAGAGATGGGGGTGGGGGCGGAAGCCCAGGATCTGCTGGGTAGTGCAGGTGCAGGCACAGGGTGGTGTCTTTGTTCTTTCACGCATCCCTCCCCGCCCCCTTCCTCCCCGGAAACCAGTAACTTTGCCACCACCCGTATTGGAGGTGCTGAGCCGTGGGGGCCAGGCCCAGGGAGGGGTGGGAGTAAAGGGGGCTGCCGCAGTTGTGTTAGGCCATAAATCAGGCTGACCCCTTGGCTCAGGGCAGGATGCCTGCAAATTTGGCTTCTGTACCAGCAGATCTGAGCAGAAGTGACAACTACACGGATCTGCTAGTGCCTGGTGAGCTGGGCGGGGCAGGGGCAGGGGGAGGGGTCACGTGGCTCCATGTCCCACCTGCTGGGACCTGGAGGGTTAGGCTGGGCAGTAACACACACCCCCCCCCCCCATCCTCTCACATCTACAGGAATCCCCTCCATGACCAAGGCCTGGGGACTATGGGCCCTCTTAGGGGCTGTGACGCTGTTGCTTCTCATCTCACTGGCTGTGCACTTATTCCAATGGACTAGTGGCTGGAGCAGGAACCATCCGGGACAGGGACGGTGAGTGGGGGGCAATAGAGATGGGTTGATCGAGAGTGCCCCCTTACCAACAAGCACTCTCTCATCCCCTAAACTCTGTGTTGCAGGCCTGGAGAGTCTGCGGAAGAGGTCCCTCTGTACGGGAACCTGCATTATCTACAGACAGGTAGGACGCTTTCAGAGGGTAGCGGCACAGTGGCCAGGGTGCAGGGGGAGGAACAAGAAGTGACCAGATTCCTGTTCCCTGTCCTAGGACGACTGTCTCAAGAACCGGGGCCAGACCAACAGAATCCAACACCTGGAGGCCCTGCCAGGGTGAGTCAGTTGTGGCTGACGAAGAGGGGAGGGAAGGTAGTGGGGGATTTTTCAAGGGTCCAGTGAACTTCTAACAGCCTTGCATCTCCAGGCTGCAGAGGAGGTGATGTGCTATACCAGCCTGCAGCTGCGGCCTCCTCAGGGCCGGATCCCCAGCCCTGGAAGCCCCATCAAGTACTCGGAGGTGGTGCTGGACTCTGAGCCAAAGCCCCAGGCCTCGAGCCCCGAGCCGGAGCTCTACGCCTCAGTGTGTGCCCAGACCCGCAGAGCCCGGGCTTCCTTTCCAGACCAGGCCTACGCCAACAGCCAGCCTGCACCCAGCTGAGACAGAGGGCCTGGCACAGTGGGGCATACAACTCCCCCGCCTCCTCTGTTGCCAGGGTTACTGCTACCCTGTCTGGGGCATGACTGTTTCCCAACCACCCCCTAAAGACAGGCAGCCATTGCTCAGTCACAGGAGTTATGCTCCCCGAACTTCCTATCTGAGCTGTGAGGGAGACATCAGAGGAATGGCAGGCCCCCCGTTTCTTGAGGGTGGAGGAAGCAAAGGCAGTGGCTCCCTCTCCACCGGTTTTTTCCCTCTATCTATTCCTCTCAATCCCCAAACTCCCAGGTCCTCACTCCTCCTTCCGGAGCTTAACCATATCCTCCCCACTCTGGCTGCCTCTTAGTCTACCCCTGACACCACAGTGTCTCCTCAGACACAAGAAGTGGGGGGGGGGGGGGGAGGGGGTAAGAGTCTGAGAGGACACAGGTGGGCATCCTCCTCAGGAGCCCACAGGCTGGAGGGGTCCTGGAGCTCAGTGACCTGAGAAACCCAAGCCTGGTCTCTGACTTGAGAACCCTGGCAGAATACCAGTCTCCATCCTGCCATCTCTGTTATGTGCCCAAGTTTTAAAATAAAACTTCTGAAAAAGGGTTTAGATTTCACCTAGAAAGCCACACACCTGCAACAGGCCCCACATGGTGGGGCGGTGACCTCTGCTCTCTGCACAGAACACTTCCGGGAGCGTCTACCTGGGAAAGAGGCGCCAAGAAGGGCCGCAGCATCAGTGATGCAGGGGTGGGTGCTACGGGTGGAGGCCCGAGCCCAGCTGCTGCGGGAACGTCCCCAGGATTTGCACACAGAGCCTCCCCACTCCCATCACCTGCGGTCTGCAAGTTTCCCACCCTCTGACCTACTTTCCCCAGGGCCATCACCCACAGCCTGAGGTCTGGGCCATTTCCCCTACAGCCTCTGTAGCTCTCTTGACAGACCCTACTGAGGTTTGAGCAGAAAAAAAGGGGAAGCTGAGGCTTTTACTTCCAAACTTCTCTCCTTCCTACTTAGAGTCCCAGAGAAAATCCCAGAGAAGGGAACCTTGAGCCTGAGACCAGCCTGGTGGTCCCAATGAGAAGGGTGACACGCCTCTCCACGCACACACAATAACCCAAATGCCCCAGGGTTCCTGGACCTCTGAGGACCCCCAACCTGGGCCTCCCCAGAAGAGGCCCCGGTCGCGGTTAACGGCAGGCAGCTGGGACTGTGTGGGAGGGAAGATGGCTTTGGGGGCGGGCACCGGATGCGGGGAACCGCGGGCAGCGGGATGTGGGGTTCTGAGGGCTGCTGCGCTAAAGACGGCTCAACGTGTCCGCGGCCTGGGAGACGTGACGCCCTGACCTTGGAAGAAGCAAGGGTTGGGGTCCCGCCAACCTCCTGGGACGAGCCGGGAGCCGCAGCCGAGGTCTTAAACGCCGCCAAAGTAGGAAGCCGACCTCCGCTCCCCGATCTCCCTCTCCCCGCGGGGTTCCGCGGCGCCCGAACCAAGGCCCGAGCGCCCCCGCCTGGTGCGACGCGGCCTCGCCACCACCTCTGCGCAGGCGTAATGCTGCCCTGCCCACAGCATGCTGGGAGATGTAGTCCAGACCGTGCGGGGCTGACCCCGAATGTCTCCCGGGACTTCTCGAAGCACTGGCCGTGTAGCTCTCAGAGCTGCCGCCTCCCCCGTTCGCGGAACCTAGCGGACTCACTCTGTCTGAAGCTGGGTGCTATTTGAACTTTGTTCTCCTTCCAGTTCCCGAACGGTTTTTCTTACCGTCTTATCTCGCCTATCACCGAGGCTCGTGCCCTAGCCTAGGCCCTCAGGACTGAACGCCAGGACTGTGGCAACTTACTAATAGATCCCTGAGTCTAGGAAATAAGTCGGGGTAGCCAGATCCGCCTCAGACACCCTTGCCACATCTCGCTAGCTGATCAACTCGCCTCACGAAATACCTGGTAGTTCTCGCCCCTTCCACAGCTCCAGGTGCTTTCCCTAGCAGCCTACCTTCCCTCACTGGTGTCTGTTTCCAGCCAGAAGGAGAGCCCTGTCCTCGGCAAATTCCCAGGGGCGAATCCTTAGGGGAAGCCACCAGGGCCCGCGGGGGTGGGGGTGTGGCCCCGCGTTCCCTCTCTTCCTGAGATTCCGGCTGGGAGAACAGGGTTATGCTCAAGGCTCAAGAAGCAAAGAGGCACGGTCTTTGGGTCGTCAAAGGCTTAATGATAGGAAGTTCTTAAGGAATTACTTATAGGTGGGGAAGGGCCTCGAAGGCCCTTCAGGCAAGGCCCCTCCAACGTTGACCTTGCTCTGCACTGTCAAGATAACTCTAAACTTACAAGCTGGTTTTGTCTACAAAGGAGGGAAACAAAGCTGGGACACGGAGAGAGACCAAGTCTTAATGACTTCATTTGAAACCTTGAATCCAGCCATGCCCAGAGCTAGACTCGCCTACTGAAGTTTTTGGTTATGTAAGCTAATACAGTCCCTTTTTTGCTTAAGTCAGACTAAGTTAGATTTTCTAACTCTTCCAACTACGAGTTCTGACTAATTCTGTGGGGAAAGACCAGCTGACCAAGGCCAGCTGAAGATGCTAAACCTCATTGCTCAACTCCTCCACCAGCCACCCTCCTCTGATTTAATACTTGAATGTGCTATCATGCCATTTGACCCTAAGAGATTTCTGCATACTGTGAGTTAACCTAGCCTCTTGCCAAGCTTTTACATTTCTATAGCATTGTATAGCTGGAAGGAGGCTGACAGATCTGACCCAAACTTATACCCACTGCAGGAACCACACTGTGAGCTTCTTCTTAAACACTCCCAGAGATTCGGAGCTCACTCCCTTACCAAATGCTGCTTTCCTATCTTTCTTATTGAGACTTTTTTTTTTTTTTGGCGGGGGGAGCAAAATCTGCTTGCATGTTACTTTTCACCAATTCTGCCTCCTAAGCTACAGGCATACAGTCAGTCTTCTTCCTCCTGTACATGACAGCCCTGGAGGAATTGGAAGCCAGCCTTGCTGGATGGCCTAAGCCTTTTTTCCCCCCTTCTTCCCAGGAAGAGCTTTCTAAAGTTCCTTTTACAGTTCTTTTATAGACCATATTTGCAGCCTACTCATCCTTCCCATTGTTTCACTTGACCAGAATCTCTCTTAAAGTGTGGTGCTAAGAAGGGAATATAATACTGGCAGCAACAGTGGGGAGCCATCTCTTTATTGGGCACTAAATCTACAGGGACTTTGTTGATAATGAATACACTCATTTAGCCTAGCTTAAGTAAAGGGGTATTTATTGTAAGGAAACCTGGGGTAATTAAGAGACTGGATGGAATGGGAATCCCAGAACAGTGGCTATGATCTGACTGGGCCTGTGCAGACTGTTATTGGATCTCAGATCTTGGCATCACTGGGGACCTTGGGACAGGAGGATGTGGGTCTTCACACTCCTGCTCCTCCAGTCCTGTGACTCAGATTCTCCGTCTCTGCCTCTTTTATTTCCCAATTTCTTCCCACTTTGCTAATTTGCATCAGCATCCCTTAATGTATATTCTCTACTTCATGCTTCTGTTTCCTCACAACAGCTTTGTATTTCCTCCTCTGTCTCATAACCTCAGTTAAATGTTTAATTATAGGAATAGTGTGAGCACATGATAAAAAAAATCAAGTAAATCTGAAGGGTATACAATAGTGGTTCTCAACCAGAAGTGACTGTACCCTCCAAGGTTTATTTGGCAATATCCGGAGATATTTTTGGCTGTCACAGTTGGAGAGGGAGTGCTATTGGTCTATAGTGGGTAGAGGCCAGGGATGCCGCTAAACACACAGATCAGCCAATCTCAACAAAGAATTTCTGGCCGCAAAAGTTAAAAGTGCCAAAGTTGAGAAATCCTAGAAGAGGGGGAAAAAGCAAAGTAAAAGGTTGTAGTTCCCAGAGGCACCTACTATTAATGGCTTCTGTTTTTAAGTCTTTTGGTGAATATCACTATATCTGTCAATAATACCTAGACTACCCAGAGCAAGGGGATTCTGGGCATGTGGCCACCCTACAGAAGCTTCCACACACCCCCAAAAGCTCCCAGCTATAGGTGATGAACTTTTTTTAAAAAATTAATTGATTGATTTATTTATTTTTGGCTGCGTTGGGTCTTCATTGCTGCACACGGGCTTTCTCTAGTTGAGGAAGTGAGGACTACTCTTCGTTACGGTGCGTGGACTTTTCCTTGCAGTGGCTTCTCTTGTTGGGGAGCACGGGCTCTAGAGCACAGGCTCAGTAGTTGTGGCGCTCGGGCATAGCTGCCCCACGGCATGTGAGATCTTCCCTGACCAGGGCTCGAACCCGTGTCCCCTGCATTAGCAGGCGGATTCTTAACCACTGCACCACCAGGGAAATCCCTAGGTGATGAGCTTTATGTGGGCTCTGCTGAACTCCTGGCTGAGAGAATTCCCTGCAGACAAGTTTCTGGAGAACAGTCTCAGAGCCAAGAGCAAAGACCTTCAGGAAGGCAGCAAGTCCCAGAAACAGCCTGCTTCCCAAGAACAATGAATGGCTTTACTGAGTTTCCCTGGCTCTCCAAAAAATTCATAGTGGATTGACTTTCTCAGCCCTTGAGGCTGGGAGAATGCAAACAAACCAGAGGGCAGAGAGACCTGCTGGAGGAAACAGATGAACCTCTGACTGAAAAAACGAGAGCCTGGAGGAGATATGTGTGAAGCTCAAACACAAAGGATTTTCCTGAACATGAAAATGTGATATCAGAACTAAAAATGTCCATAGATAAATCAAAGGAGAGGATAGTCACTGATAAAACTCAAAAACAGGTCTAGAAAATCAAATAGATGAAATATCTCAAAGCATGGAACAAAAATATGCAGATGCAAATCATGTGGTGAAAGATGGAAATTGGAACAGACCCAGGAGACTTAACTGCAAATTCTATGAGTTCCTGGAGAAAAAGGAACAGGAGAGGAGTGGTCATAGTTAAATAATAGATGAAATTTCCCTGAGCTGAAGAAAGACTCAAGTTACAGACTGGATTGGTAGGAAAACACACACACTTATGAAGGCAGTCGAAAGGCACAAACTTCCAGTTATAAGATAAATACTAGGGATGTCATGTACAGCATGATAACTATAACTAACACTGCTGCACGTTATATATGAAAGTTGTGAAGAGAGTAATCCTGAGTTCCTATTACAGGAAGAACATGTTTTTCTATTTCTTTAATTTTATATCCATATGAGATGATGAATGTTCACTAAACTTATTGTAATAATCATTTCATGATGTATGTAAATCAAATCTTGATGCTGTACACCTTAAACTTATGAGTGCTGTATGTCAATTATATCTCAATAAAGCTAGAAGAAAAAAAACACACACTTAGCCACATACAGGTTAAAATTCCTAAGCTCTAAAGATATTAGAAATCTTACACATATCCAGGGAAAATGAAAGTTCTTTCTTCTTATCTGCTACCGTGGAAGTTAAAAGACAGCAGAACTGAATTTGAGTTAATGAGAGAAAAGGCCTGCGACCCAGAACCAGCCAAGAAAGAAAGAAAGATATTTGAAGATTTTCAATAATCACTCAGTAGCTCATCTGAGAAATACTTTTAAGAGAAGACTCTAATGAAACAACAAATGAATCAGAACAGAGACTTCAAGATAGGGGAAGATGAAGAGAAGAGGAAAGAAAGCAGTGGGGAGCAACGAACCATGATCTATGTATTTATATCTATATCTCTATGTATTTATAACGTGTAATAAAAATGCTAAATAAGGACGCTTGGAACAGATGGAACACACCGTGAGGGAAATTCTAATAATGACTAAATTATCTCAATAAAACTCTGGAATCAGGTAGTGGAGATAAGGGGAAGGTAAGTGTTCTAGCACTTAAGTGGCAAGGGGTTGGGAGGATGAAAGAGAGAGGGAGGGGTAGTGAAAATCAACTAAAGACCATATCTTATTCGGGTGTAGAGGAAGTAGAAGATAAATCGAGTAGGATGGAAATAGCTGTTCTGGTTCACACACTAGGAGAGTCATGTGTGCCTATATAGAGAGCAGGGCAAAGGATAGTAACTATTAGTAGAACGATGAACTCCAAATAACAAGGGGGGAAATGGGACGAACGGCCATTCATTCAATCCAGCAAAGGTAAAGAAAAGAAGAATTAACAACAATGTTAAATTTAAAAACAAGTAAGATGGAAATAAATCAAATACATCACTCATTACAGTAAACACAATCCAGCAAAGGTAAAGAAAAGAAGAGTTCACAACAATGTTAAGAAATTTAAAAACAAGTAAGATGGAAATAACAAGTCAAATACATCACTCATTACAGTAAACATGAGTGGACTGAATTCTTCCATTAAAAGTCTGTCAGACTCGGTTATAAATCAAATTCTGGTCCATATTATTTAAAAGAAACACACTTAAAGTGATGAAGAAACTTTCAAAATAAAGATGTGGGAAAGGGATACTAGGCAGATAAACAGGAAACAGTGGTAATGCTGATATCCAACAAACGGAATTTAAGTTTCAGGCTGAAACTGGTGTGAGGACTGCTTAGATAGCGGTAGGAGAGAACTTTTGGGGTGCTGGGAATCTTCTGTATCTTGACTGTGGTGGTGGTTACATGACCAAATACATTTAGCAAAACTCATAGGATTGTAATTTAAAATTGATAAAATTTAATGTATGTAAAAAAACTTAATATATATATAAATTGCAATACAGTAAAGCTGGTTTTAAAAAATGACAAAATTACCGTGTTCGCAAAATTTAAATGCTGAATGAAAAAATAGTGTAATACCAGAAACCATCTCAATTACCCTGTATCATATAATATATTATATCCCTGAAATACCATAAAGATAGCAAGCTTTTAAAAAGAGAGGTAAAATAAAGGGAATAGTTATTTCAAAAAATTAGAAAAATAGCAAGGAAAGAAACCAAAAGTAATCAGGAAATAACAAAAGGTGACATGAATGAATGGAAACAAACAAAAATACTAAGAAGCACAAATTTTTAAAAAGTTCTTTAAAAGTGCTAATAAAATAGAAAAACTTCTTGCAAGCCCAAGCGAGGAGAAAAAAAGAGAGAGTAAAAATAGAAAACATTAGTTATGAGAAAGAAAACATTATTACAGTTAGAAGAGAGAATTAAAGAATTTTTAAAAAGTGCAACTTAAAATTACTCAGCAAACAATTTGAAAATTTAGAGGAAATGGATACATTTCAGGAAAAATATAAATTACCAAAATTGACCCAAAAGAAAGAGGAAAGGTTGAATGGTTCAACTGATCTTAGAAAAAACTAGAATAGAAAGGTAATTAGGGATCTACTTTTGGAAAAGACTGCGTTCAGTTGGTGCCACAGCTGAGCTTTATCTAACATTCAATAAGGGTAATTTCCATGCCATTTAAACTTGTCATAGAAAAAGAAGAAAAGCTCCCATATTTAATACATAGAGCCAGCATAACTTAATACTGTTCCTAATAAAAACTCTAAGTAAAAAAGGATACTGCTTAAATATATCAGACTTTTTACTAAACAGCAAGTACTGTTCTTAATAGTGAAACACTAAAATCACTTTATTAAAATAAAAATGTAGACAGAAATGTAGCCTGTTATTATCCTCATTGTTTAACATATCTTGAAAGTTTTATCAAATGCAGTAAGACAAAAGAATTAATTGTTATGATTATCTGAGAAATTATAAAGCTTTTTTTTTGCTGATATGATTATATTATCAAAAAATTCCAGACTAGTAAAAAAAAAACTAGTAAAAAGGCAATACGGTTTGGAAAGTTGACTGGATACAAGATAAATATAATGAAAACAAATTGCTTTTTTCCTATTCTAGCAATAAGCATCTTTTCAAATTGAAAATGGGGAAATATTCAATTCAGTTATAAAATTATAAAATTCTTGGATAATAACAATTATAGTCACCATAATGCCATGCACTCTTCTAAGTAATCCTCACAACACCCTCTTGAGATCAATTACTATTATCATTCTTATTTTACAGAAAAGAACACTGAGAAACAGAGAGATTAATTGATTTACCCCAGATCACTGGCTGGTAACATGTTAAGTGTTCAGATTTGAATCCTGGCAGCTGGCACTGAGACTACCCTTGTAACCACTATGGTACAGTATGTAAATTTTTTAAAAATTGAGATATAATTGACATATAACATCATATTAGTTTCAGGTGTACAATATGACTCGATATTTGTATATATTGAGAAATGATTACCACAGTACCTCTAGTTAACATCCATCACTGCACATAGTTACATTTTTTTTTTTCTTGTGATGAGAACCTTTAAGATCTACTCTGTTAATAAGAACCTCTGTATAACACAGGGACCTCTACTCAATACTATGTAATGACCTATATGGGACTAGAATCTAAAAAAGAGTGTATATATGTATATGCATAACTGATTCACTTTGCTGTACAGCAGAAACTATTGTAAATCAACTGTACTCCAATAAAAATTAATTTTAAAAAACTACTCTCTTAGTAACTTGTTTTTTAATAAATTTATTTATTTATTTTTGGCTGCATTGGGTCTTCGTTGCACGGGCTTTCGCTAGTTGCGGTGAGAGGGGGCTACTCTTTGTCGCAGTGCACGGGCTTCTCATTGTGGTGGCTTTTCTTGTTGCGGAGCATGGGCTCTAGGCGCGTGGGCTTCAGTAGTTGTGGCATGAGGGCTCAGTAGTTGTGGCGCACGGGCTTAGTTGCTCCGTGGCATGTGGGACCTTACCCGACCAGGGCTTGAACCCCTGTCCTTTGCATTGGCAGGCGGATTATTAAGCACTGTGCCATCAGGGAAGTCTGTAACTTTTAAATATACAATACAATATTATTAACTGTAGTCACCATGCTGTACATTACGTTCCCAGGACATTTTTTTTTTATGACTGGAAGTTTTATAGTATGTAAATTTAGTCAAGAATTGACTTCATATGTACTCATATGAAGAAAGTTATACAATATAATTAAAAGATACAAAGCAAAAGTAGGACAAACAAGAGAGCTTCCCAGGTGGCGCAGTGGTTGAGAGTCCGCCTGCCGATGCAGGGGACACGGGCTCGTGCCCCAGTCCGGGAAGATCCCACATGCCGCCGAGCGGCTGGGCCCGTGAGCCATGGCCGCTGAACCTGTGCGTCCGGAGCCTGTGCTCCGCAACGGGAGAGGCCAAAAAAGTGAGAGGCCCGCGTACAGAAAAAAAAAAAAAAAAAAAAAAGACTTCATATGTACTCATATGAAGAAAGTTATACAATATAATTAAAAGATACAAAGCAAAAGTGGGACAAACAGAAAATGCAACCATCTCTTTGGCGGTGAAAGCGCTGAATCCTAACCACTAGATCACCGGGGAACTCCCTCAACCCTCCCTCTTCCCTTCCCTTGGAAGGGAACATAAAATATCAGAAAAAAATGTCAATTCTTCCAAAATTAAAGTATACCATTAAGATAGTTCCAATTTGTATCTCAAAGAAGAGTCAAGGACAAATATTTTAAAAGAAAAAGAGAAATTTGCCTTACCAAACATCAGAACGTGCTCTAAGACCACTTAAATCAATAAGTAAAAGGGAATCAATAGGTAAACAGGAATCCCAAACTAGGTGTTTGTGTATAAGGGAACATGGCAATTCAATTCATTGGAGAAAGGATGATATAATAAGAAATGGTCCTGGAACAGGAGGCCGTCCTTACTGAGAGCGGAAGCTGGGCTGGGACTGTGTACCAGCTGGGCTTTTGTTCCAGAGCAGTGGCACCTGGTGGGGGAGGGCACAGCTTCTCTTGCAGGACACTCACAGCATCACAGCTGGAGGTAGTGAGAGACTGACTGGGCTTCCAAGCTGTCTTCATGGGTCTGGCTTATCCCTGCCCTCCCACTTTCCATTCGCCTTGCCTCCCCAGCTGCCTGCCCTGCAGACTCCAAACTCCAGCATCAGAAGCAAAGATAATGACCTTTCACAGACCGTTTAACTAGTTCTTATAAGTGCATTAATTGGGTAAGGGCAATTTCCTGTAACAAATCTCTGAATTGAAAAAAAATTATGTGCGTGTATGTATATGTGTACACATACCCTAATGGTCTACTTCTCTGCGCCATTTTTTATTGAGATATAATAACATTGTGTAAGTGTAAGGTGTACAGTGTGTTGACGTGATACATTTATATGCTGCATTATGCTTGCCACCATGGTTAGCTAACACCTCTATCACGTCACATAATTGTCATTTCTTTTATGTGGTGAGAACAGTTTGAGTCTTGACTGGCACACTAGATGAAGGACGTATAAGTATTCATTGTATTATTCTTCCAAGTTTCCTCTAGGCTTCGAATTTTCAAAATAAAATTCTGGGGGGAGAAAAAGAATACAAAGGATCTAACATCAATAGAAGAGCAAATCCAACTGGTTAACAAACATGAAAGTATGTTCAAATTCACTAGGAGTCAGGGACATGCAATTTAAAGTAATAAGGAGGTACCACTTTACATCCATGGTGGAAAACTGGGGCTCAAAGCCATTGGGAAACGCTGAGAGCCAGTGTAGACCATGTGCCCTCAGTTAGCCCCCCAGGGTGAGGTTGCTAGGGGGTACACCAGTTCCCACCAGTCATCGGTTGAGCTGCTCTGGTGCGAGGTACTGATTTCCAGCACTTTCTCACTGCCTGCCAAAGAAAAGCTGCAAAGATGCTGGCAGTTGGAAGCCAGGCGGAAGCACACCAAGTGGAAAGACCAGGGGGACAGGGATGGCTGAGGCTCTGCGTGCTTCTGCCTGCATCACTCAGATCCACTCATGCCCCTCCTTAGGTCACGCTGTCACTGCTTCTCCAAGGTCACAATTTCTTAAAAGTGGAGGAGGAAAGAGAGGAAGAAAACCTTACACTAGGAGGGTTAGTGGGATAAGCTACACTACTGTAGCTGGTGCTACGGCTGCAGCGGAGATTCTTCCTTCTCTCCATCCATTCTAGACTCCCCCTCGCTCTCAAGCAGCACTTGATGCTGGTCTAGATGGCTTGTCTGGTCGGTAACCCAGACCTTCATTTCCAAGGGGTCGGAGCTCCGACAACTGTGTCCTTTTCAGGCTGGGGTGGTCACCCTTGCCCATTTGTGGATAACGTATCACTGGGCACGAAGCACCAAGGGGTGCCCACGACTCTCCTGCGTGCAGGCCCGCTCCCCCTGCTCGCGATAGGTAGCAGCAACCCCATCTCCCTGTGATAGTCAGGCTGGCTTACCTGCCGGGATAATCCCCCTGCCCCAAGTGTGTGAGAGGGTCGGAGCCAGGCACAACTGCTAAGCATGGGAGGCTCCGGGCACCACATGGACTCTCTCTCTGCATCCTTTCGCTTCTGCTCCCACTGCTACCTGAGTGCTCATCTCCATGTTCTCCCACTGAAATTCCTGAGAACGAAAATTTGATAAGCTCACATCCTCTCTGATTTCCAGGCCAGGCCACCCCAGAGGCCACTGGCTGGTCTCTGAACAGGCCAGCCTTGAGTTTGCTGTCCACTTGGTTATCTCAGTCAGCTGAGGTCAGAGGGGTTGGAGGTCACATAACACAATTCTGGGGGTCTAGGGCTACCTCATCAGCAGGGGTTTGGCCCCCCTTAGAAGGGGCTGTAGGTGTGGCTGGCACAGTGTTTGGCATATTTGGTAAAGAAGCTGTAGTCCTATGGGACAGCCTTGTGTCACCAACCCTCCTAGTCATACGGTTAATTCATAATGAACTTATAGCCCACTGAGTGTAGTTTCCTAATTTGTAAAATAAGTGGGTCAAACTAAGATCATTCTAGCTCCAAAACGACTGATAACTGTCTCTCCCCTCAGACATGTATACATAAACTATTTTTAAGCCAGGACTGCCTCCAACCTATGCTTATGTAATTTATTTTTTGAGCCCCAAGTTTCATTTTTCAACAGATTCTAGCTGTTTTATTTATCTTTATTATATTTCAGTCTGTGGTTGGAGCCATCATTTCGCTCTGCTGCAATGTTTGAATCATGAGTTTGCCTTTTGGTGTATTTGCTTTTCTTTTTTTTTTTTTTTTTTTTTGCGGTACGCGGGCCTCTCACTGCTGTGGCTTCTCCTGTTGCAGAGCACAGGCTCCGGACGCGCAGGCTCAGCGGCCATGGCTCACAGGCCCAGCCGCTCCGCGGCATGTGGGATCCTCCCAGACCGGGGCACAAACCCGTGTCCCCTGCATCGGCAGGCGGACTCTCAACCACTGCGCCACCAGGGAAGCCCTATTTGCTTTTCTTTAGAGCTCTGTGCCATCAGCATACATGAATGTGCTTTCTGTGTTACCATTCAAGACAGGGCCAAGCAGAGGCCTAGGGCACTCACTGGAGACCTATTGGCACTCTGCCTTCAGTGATCAAAGAGCTGCACGAATCCCCTTAATAGTGCTGTCAGATGGCCCACAGTCCTCCCTCCTGACTCTGAAGCTATTTCAACAGACTTTTAGCGATGCTTTTGCTAAAATTAACACCTACTATATCTCCAGCCATGAACCCCTTGAGTGATGTCAGATATCATCTAGAAAATTCCATATTTTACAGATAGGAAATTGTGACTTAACCAAAGTCACACACTGTGGCAGGGCTGGCTTCTTTATCTATGCCATGTTCTTTCCATTACATCATGCTTCCTCCACAGTTCAGGAAACTTATCTCTTGCTGCCATCACAAATTACCACAAATTTAGCGGCTTACAAAATACAAGTTTCTTATCTTACAGTTCTGTTGGTAAGAGGTCTGACACATATTTCACTGGATTAAAGTCAAGGTGTCAGCAGGGCTGGTTCCTTTCTGGGGGCTCTAGGTGAGGATGTGTTCCTTCGCCTCTCCCAGCTTCTAGAGGCTGCCTGAGTTCATCAGGTCGTGGTTCCCTCCCTCTAGCTCCAGAGCCAGCATCTGCAGGTGGAGTTCTTCTCATGTCATATCTCTCTGCCCCTCCTTCCATGGTTGAATCTCTTTCTTCCCATGGCCCTGAAAGCTTCATCCTTCCAAAGACTTGTGATTAGATTGGCCTCCCGGGATAAAACAGGATGATTTCCCCATCTAAAGGTCCTTAACTTAATCACGTTAACAATTTTATCAGGTAAAGTAACCTATCCTGTCCACCGGTTCTGAGGATTAGATTGTGAACATTTGGGGGAGGCCATTTTTCTGCCTGTCACATGCTATCTGTAGATTAGGACCTCCTGGAGTCAGTCAGTGGGTTAAGGTAATGAAGATGGACAGAACCTGACTTTCAGAGTCTCAGGAGACTTCCTTGACTTCCTGATGTTGGCTGGACTTCACGAAAGTTTATACAGATGAGCCCCTTTTTAAAAAAAAAAAAAAAAAAATTTACTTCACTGCACCAGGTATATCAGTTGCAGCATGAAGTATCTAGTTCTGTGAGCAGGGATCGAACCTGGGTCTCCTGCATCAGGAGTGTGGAGTCTTAGCCACTGGACTACCAGGGAAGTCCTTAGATAAGCCCCTTTCCATACAGCACATTCTTTCCCGAGGCCCTCATAGCTGGGCTCCCTCCTCTTGTTTACTGTAGAACCACTCCCTGAAATAAGCATGGAGGGGTCAGGAGAGGGCAAGAAATGGGCTTTGGTGTTTGTTCTCTAGGATCTCAGATGAAATTATGATCCTGGAAAAGCTGAAATGTACAGCACTGGCCCCTCAGCTCTGAGAAGCCCCCAGGCATTCCTGACATTTGGGTAGGTGAGGTGCAGCTCAGAGTAACAGCTGTCCTTTCTGATGTCCAGCCTCCAAAGGAAATGTACATGTCAATATCGCAAAGACCCCATGTGGCACACATGGGGAAGGAGACGTACTCTGCTCTCATATCTTCTTCACAAAAGAAGGCCACACGATGGTCTAGGACTGAGGGAATGCAGAGTGTCATAAGGAGATGTGTGTCCATCACCAAAAGAGCTAAAGAGGACAGAAACACAGACCGGCTGGCCTAAGACATCCAAGGCATTGTGGGCGTGCAGTTTAGCTCATCCAGTCCCATTTGGGCACCCTCCCTCCTAAAGCCTCCCCAAGGGTCGAGTTAGGCAGCATGCCCATTGATTCCTTTTTTGAGCACATACTCATTTGAAGATTGTTTTTGGCATTTTACCTGGCATCCAGGCCCTGTTGCACATGGGTTCTGAAAACTGGGACATTATCTCCAGTTTACAGAATTCCTGCAAGTGTTCCTGCAATTGATTTACACACACGCTGTCCCTACACCCCATGCCCTGTGCATCACAGGTACCAGTACCCTGACCACGCCCCCTCACTCCTGCCACCAGCTGCTCTATGCACTCCCACTCACTCTCACAGGCCCCTGAGGCCCCCAGGGAGTCACCAGCACACACCACTCTCACTGTCTGGGAGAGGGGGCTGGGGTGTTGGAAACTTTAATCAAGCAGGGACGGTTAACAGCTGCAGGGACACCCTAGAAAAGAGTGAGCCTTCAAGAGGATATACTTATGGACTCTGTCCCCATGACCTTTTAAGACTTATGAAAATGACCTGTCATTTCCCGTCATGGAAAAAAACCACAGCCATCACAGGCACCCTTCAGGCCCCAGAATCCTCCATGCTTAACCCTCCAGGCAGGCTTGGGCAGAGATGCTCGCTTCTCACAGATGCCCCAACAGACTGCAGACACCTGGGGATGCGGGTGCATGCTTGCACACTCACACCCATGTGGATGTCTGCCTCTCCCCCCGACACGTTTCTCAGGTGACAAATGTGTTCTTCTGTGTCAGTGGGCACTTTTTCTGGGCAGGCTGGGTGACACTGTTGGGCAGAGCTCTCATCAGACCCATAGGCCTATCACCCCTCCACACACCACTAACCGTACACTACGAGCTGCTAGCATGGGGGGAGGGCCTCTTTCTCCTTCCTTTTTCCTCCCTGCAGCTGCGGGTTGGGGGAAGGGTTCTGAGGGGGAGGATGTCACCGACTCAGGGTGGGTTTTTCCCACCTCCATACCTTGTCTTGCCCCAGCCTCTTCTCACCCGCAGTGAGCCCTTGGGGGATCACATTCTGATAAAAAGAACTTTAGGGAGCACTCTGCACCTCTGCTCAGCACGCACACCCTCCCCCCGTTTCCTCTTCTCCATCAGCCAGGCCTCTCAGTCCCTGGTCTTCCTCCACAAATATCCCCTTTTTCACTGGGGCTGGGAGTAAAGGGACAGTTAGTTTCTGCTGTATAACAAAGTGAATCAGCTATACCTATACATATGTCCCCATATCTCCTCCCTCTTGCGCCTCCCTCCCACCCTCCCTATCCCACCCCTCTAGGTGGTCACAAAGCACCGGAGCTGATCTCCCTGTGCTATGTGGCTGCTTCCCACTAGCTATCCATTTTACATTTGGTAGTGTATATATGTCCATGCCACTCTCTCACTTCGTCCCAGCTTACCATTCCTCCTCCCCGTGTCCTCAAGTCCATTCTCTACGTCTGCGTCTTTATTCCTGTCCTGCCCCTAGGTTCTTCAGAACTATTTTTTTTTTTTTAGATTCCATATATATGTGTTAGCATACGGTATTGGTTTTCCTCTTTCTGACTTACTTCACTCTGTATGACAGACTCTAGGTCCACCTGAGGGACTTGTTAACGAAAGAATTTTACTAGGAAAGTACAAGAGAAGCCAAAACCGAACCAAGAAGAAAGCAAAACCTTGGCTGGTCCAGAGTCTGCCCGCTCAGAACCCAGCCCTGCTCTTTGCCTCCCCTCTGAGAAGCTGCAGTCCAGCTTCATCCCCATGCAAGTCCTTTGCTCATCTGCTCCCTGACCCCCAACAAGGTGCATGAATAGTCAGTGCTGAAGGTTTTTCCAGAGGCACACAAACTGTGGTGTCCCTCACCCTCACCCTCAGCCCGGGCTTTCCCAGAGCTTCTGCCTCTTGGACTCAGCTTGCTGGGTTTGGCTCAGATACTGGAACACAGGGGTCACGTCAGTCTGCCAGAAGGCAGGATGGGACAAGGAAGAGGCTGACTGGCCATAGGTGTGATCATTAGGGCAACAAAGGTGGAGGAGGCCAGGGAAAGGCTGTGAAGCGAGAGTCTGGGGGCGTTTACACAGGACAGTCAGTTTGGTCCCAGATGCTCTGCATCCTCCAAAGTGTTGCCTCATTCCCAGGAAAGGCTTTGGACTGAGAACTTCTCTGTGTGTGGGATTCTCAGCAGCTCTGTAGCACTACAGTAGAAGGGGAGCCGGGCCCACCCTGAAAGCCCCCAAACTGATGGAGAGAAAAGTCCCACCAAGTCAGGGACCCCCCTTCTGGGAACTCATATCTACTGGGAACCTCAGGATGAGGAGGAGGTAGGGCTCCACACTAGGACCCCTCAATCTGATGGGGAGGATGAAGCCCCACCCTGGAGCAACGATTAGGGAGATCCTCTTTGGTCAGTTGAGCACAAAAGAGCTCCGACTGCACACAGAAAGCCCGTGGACTGGGCAGCCAGGAAAGAAGCGTGGAGCAAATCAGGGTAGTTGATGAGGGTGGGCGTTCGGAGCCCAGCACTGTCAAGGTGGGTCTGGGATGCATGAAGGAGGAGCACAGACAAGACACAGGGACAGGCCTGAGTATTGGTTCTGTGACAGCCCCCAGCCCTGAACCCCATGCTCTGGACCTCAGGTTCCCCTCCCCTGCCCCTCTGGCCGGGGCTCAGGGATGCCGTCTGCTTCACTGAACCCATCTGTCTGAGACTGGGTCACATCTTCCTCTTTTGTGACTGGAAGTTAAAGGACAGAGAACTAAGCTGTGCAGTCACGGAGGAAACACAGAGCCTAAGAGTGTGAAGGGACAGAGGGGAGAGTGGCAAGGAAGCCTGGAGCCGGTGGAAGAGGAGAGAGGCGAGTGGGAGCAGAGGTGCTCAGGACCATGGCTGAGGCCATCACCTATGCAGACCTGCGATTTGTGAAGGCTCCCCTGAAGAAGAGCATCTCCAGCCGCCTAGGACAAGGTAAGGGTGGATAAGGTGTCTCCTTGATTCTGCATCTCCATCCTCCTTGAAGACCCCACTCCCACCCCAGAGACCCCAATCCTGACGCCACCTTTTCTCTCCTCTCCAGACCCAGAGGCTGATGAAGACGGAGAACTCACCTATGAGAATGTTCAAGTGCCCCCAGGCCCAGGAGGACCCTCAAGCTTGGCTTCCGCTGGATTAGGGGACAAAGCAGGTCTGGAGAGCCCAAGGGATGTGTGTTTATGGGGGACTGTGTCTTGCGCTGGGGAGTCCACAGCATTCTTGGGAGGACAATACTCTTGGAGAAAGGCTGGGGATTCTCAGGAAGAGAATGAGCACCAATTATGGGAGCTAAGGAAGAATAAAGCTCCCAGGGGGTAAGGTGGAGATCCCGGTGGGGAGCTAGGGCTCTACGGAGGGATCAGGGCAGCCCTGTTGGGGAGCTGAGCGCGCGTGGGAAATGGGGAGTCCCGGGAGAGAGAAGAGAGGGGAGGGGGGAGGGGGGAGAGCACTCCCGGGGAGAGGGTTTTGGCAGACAGATGAGGGACCCCAGAGTAAAAGATAAAGGGAGACCCAGGAGGGCGATAGAGGGTCCCCAGGGAAAGGATAAGGTAAGACCCAGGAGGGACACGAGAGTCCCAGGGGAGATACGGAACTCCGGAGAGCGCTAAGGGTGTCCCAGAGCAGTGGCAGAAGGCACCTTAGGACAGACTGGGGTCTCGGCGCGGTGGAGGGGGTGAGTAGGGTGGGGAGAAGGGGTATTTCCTGGCTTTCCCACCTTCAAACTGGAGTCGATCCCTTCCGCAGGGGTCCAGTCGGAGCAGCCAACTGCCGCCTGGAGCCCCGTGACGTCACCAGCTGCCGGGCGGATTCTCGCCTGTAAGTACCCGGTCCTCCCCGCCCCGCGCGCGCCACCCGCTGCCCAGCTCGTCTCGGGCCAGCGAGTGGGGGCGGGGCGCGGCCTCGGGTTGGGCAGCCCTCCCCCACCAGGCCCCCCGCGGTGGTCGCGGAGTCAGGTGCTGGCACCGGTCCCCGCGGGAGGTGGTGCTGGGCCACGCGGTGTGCAGGTCTGGCCCACGGATTGAGCCTGGGGCGCAGCCCTCCGGTCAGCCCGGGCAGCCCCGTGACACCCTCCCCTGCCGCTTTCACCCTCATCCTTAGAGAGATCTTTCCGACGCATCGACCCAGATCGTCTGCCCCCTTCCCCCTTACTATGGTCCCCATTCACGTACCCACTTCTCCGGTCTCCGTCTGAGATTTAGTTCCCCGTCCTACCAGGTAGTGCCCCTCAGTCGTTACCGGTAACAATCCCCAGCCCTTATTCGGGAACACCTTACCTCCTCCACCTGCGGAAACTCTGCCAGACAGAAACCACCACGCGTGCTCCAAGTCCTCTGCGGGATGCTCTTTCCCGTGAATCTCCTCCACCCACACCCCTTAGTCTATCAACTTTCGTGGGGCTCACTGCCCCCCAACCCACTGTCTCCCTAAGGCCAAGCATCCTACATGCAGTACCTCCTCCTGGGCCTGCTCCTCACCTGCCTGCTGTTAGGGGTGGCTGCCATCTGCCTGGGAGTGCACTGTGAGTATGGCTGCCCCCCATTTCCCATTTCCCCCAGACAACGTTCTCCCCCACTCTCCCCAACAGCTGCCCTGCCTCAGCAGGGCCCGGAATCACTACCACCACATCCTCAGCTTTCGTCTGGCTTCCAGCCGGGTCTGTTTCAGAGTGCCGTGACTTCCTAAATTGTCCTCACCTAATCCAGTACCTCCTTAAGCTTCAGGCAGTCAGATCTTATATTCCATTCCAGCCTGTTATGCAGAAAGTTGCAAGAAGCAGCAAAAGGACTGATGCTGAAGCCTCAGGGCACCAGAGCATGGCTGAAGATGTCCTCCAAATCTCTCTTTATGGCCAAACAGATTTCCAGGTGTCTCAGCAGCTCCAGCAGATGAACAGGGTTCTGGAAGCCACTAACAGCACCCTGAGGCAGCAGCTGCGCCAAAAGATAACCCTGCTGGGGCAGAGGGAAGAGGATTTGCAGGGGTCCAGGACGGAGCTGGCCCAGAGTCAGGAAAGACTACAGGTGGAACAGAAGGTAGGCCAGGCTACCAAAGAGCAGTTGCAGGCCTGCCAGTCAGATGGGGAGAAGACAAAAGAGGCCTTGAGAAATAAGGAGATACAAAGGATGAACTTGGAGCGGAGGCTGAGCAGCGTGCAGGACACACTGAAGCCCTTCTTCACATGCCCCTCACCAGGTATCTGCTCTGGGAAAGGGGAGATGGTAGGACCTGCCATGAAGGATGGATTGAAGTGAGGGGTCTATCTATCTATTAAGCCTGAACTGAGTTGTTCAGGAAAGGGGTAATGAACCAGAGTGCTGGCTGACATGACCCGTGCAGCCTGGGCCAACAGGGCAAAGGATCTAGCTGCATACTGGTTTTAGGGAGGGCTCACCCAGCTCTAAGGCTGACCCTGGAGGGGAGAAGAGGGTGGTAGCCAGCAGTGCAAATGACACTGTCCAGAGCAGCAAACTCAGGGCTCACTTGGCTTGACATCAGTGTCAAGGATCTGGGAACCCCCTGAATTTGGATGTGAAATTGATTGTTTGCATGTTTTTCTAAAAAGAGGACCTGTAGCTTTAATTAATTCTCTCTACATCTGAGATTCCCCAAAAGATTAAGAATTAATGATGGATGAGGTACAGTCTGGGGCTGGGGCAAGGCAGCTGAAGCTCTCGTAATGAGGTGGGCAGGGATGTTGTAGGACAGGGAATTAGGGTGGAATGCTCATCCCTTTTGAAAGGAGGAGTCCAGCCCGTGTGTGGGGATGAGGGAGGGGGACACATAGAAGGTCTGCCAAAGTTGGCTGAGGTTGAGGCAGGGTCCCCAGCCCAAGGGGACTGGAATGTCCATGGACTGGTTGTCTAGAGGTTAGGCTCTGTCTAGCTCAGGGGCATCTGGCTACTCCCCCAAGGCTTAAAACAGAGAGGTTATGTACAGACACCCCCAGCCCTCATTTCTTTAACCTTCTCATTCTCTACAAGCCTCAGTTCCATGACAGTGCTGCCCCCTCCTTCCCCACAGCTGAACCCTAGACCTCAGCATCCCAAACTGCTCTTCCGCTGAAAGGATGGCTTCGGGTCTTCGCTCTGACCACAACTGGCCCTCTATAGGCTTTCCACACACTTCTTCTTCAACCTCACGGAGGCCTCCAACCTGCTGGCTC